GTTTAACATGCTGAAATCTTCAAAGTGTCGACGTGACCTTGAAAATTAAGTGAAGGTCACCAAAATCGACTGGAACTTGCACCTTCCCTAGATGAAGCTTGGTGTCATATATGAAGAAAGTCCAGTGAATGGTTCTTGAGATATCTCGCTGACAAGCTTAACATGCAGCTTAACATCCTGAAATCCTCAGTGTCGCCATGACCTTGAAAATTAGGTGAAGGTCACCAAAATCGACTGGGCCCTGCACCTTCCCTAGATAAAGCAATATCCATTCAATGGTTCTTGAGATATCTCGCTGACAAGGGTAAAACATTAAAGTCCCCTTGTGACCTTGAAATGAAGGTCAAGGTCACCAAACCTGACTGGGACCTTCCTTTTACTGTGATAAACCTAGGTACCAAATATGAAAAGAATCCAGTCAACGGTTCTTAAGATATTCCAATTCGTACGCGACGGATGTCGGAGACCTAATACTATATCCCCGCTTAGCACTAAACGCGCGGCGGGGGATAATGAAACATTTTAGAGTATATTGTTACTGTTTCATGGAATTGAAACAAAAAGATTACATTTCAAAGTTTTTAATGCCAATGCTAATGCATTGATCACTTTGTCTGTACAGTTTAACAGCTAAACGAACACCACCTGACACGTCACTTAATCATCACAAACCTGCATATTTATTCAATGTTCTCATAATGCACTTCTAAAATAGCATATTGGTACTATAGTTTGCCTTACAGTCCCTGAATGACACTATTTTCCCTACTGCCTAGTCCTCCCTGGTAAAGCCCTCAATGAATCAAGTCTAGATTTCCACAGGTTCAGGCTGAATCTTCACTCTCACTGGGGCTCCTTTTCAATCTAAATGGGTTTATTTGTTACTATCGACATTATATATATTCAGAGATTCCAGCAACATCACGGTAGGGGACACCAGAAATGTTAGTCTAACTGTGACTACTGCACAGTTTAAAGGGATAAGCCTGTGAACATCTGGGTTAGAATTGTTCTTCAGCAACCCATACTTATTGTAAGACCTGACTAATGAGATCCCAGGTGTCCAAACTTGCTGACTTGGTTAGTGAATGTCATCGAATACCAACTGTGCTGATAATATCAATCACTGGATTGTCTGGTCCAGACTTGATTATTTTCAAACTACTGTCATTCACTTGGAATATTGCTGTGTGGACTTTCAAAAACAAACAAACAAATTTAAAGAGTGATCATCACAGGTTTTTGAAAGCAGCTTTTGATGGACAATAAATCCCCTCTTTATAACAACGGGCCAATAGTATCCTGAATTATACTGCAAATATCTCAATGACAAGAAAGTTGTACTGTGGGTTACAGAAAAATGTAAAGAACAATACAAAATCAATTACGTCCGTCTGCATAATATGGGGCAGTGGGTAGTCTGGTGGATAAAGCATTTGCTTGTCACGCTGAAGACCCAGGTTTGATGCCCCACATGGGTACAGTGTGTGAGGCGCATTTCTGGTGTCCCTTGTTGTGATATTGGTGGAATATTGCTAAAAGAGCCATAAAACTAAACTCACTCACTCACTCTGCATAATAATGGAAGTCAAGCCCTGCCCAGACTATTATAACAGAGATCCATAAGAGGATGAGGCCTCATGCTCTTCACTGGAGACAAATTCAACAAAAATGGCTTAGTCGTGGGCGGGTCCATTGAAACTCTCGTGAAAATGAAGTGTGCACCCTCACTTTCTCAAGAGTGTGCATCCCCGCTTTCTCAAAAGCTCTATCCGCCCTTGTTAGTAAGCATCTATTCAAATGTATGCATTGCAATATGTATTTCATCACATAAACAAACACAAACACTTGCAGGTCACAGCTTGTGTCTGTTTTTAACCTTTTTCAATGCACCTTAGGAAATTAAACAGAATTAAATAAATAAAATCTCTGAACAGACACTAGTTAAAATCTAGTTTATCCCAAAGTTTAGCTATCTCTGATGATGTATCACATCAATTCTACCCTTAGTCAATGAATGCATATATAAGTACTTTAAATGAAAGCCCAAACTGTTCCCACAAAAATTGAGAATTATTACAAGAAAATGTATGCATTTAGGAAATGCATCAAACTACACCACAAAAAACAATGACAGTGTGAACACACCCATTAAACAACATGCTTCAAACTGTTATCATATGCAGGAGTCTTCAGTCTTCATAAGAATCTTGTATAGAATCTGAATTACCATGGTATCATTTGACAAAGGTGTCAGTCAAGGCGGCCTTATCACTGCAGGCTTGTCTGGAGATTTGGATCCCCCAAAATACACACAAAACAAACGATTGGTGCTATCTAGCCACCATGTGATTTACGGCAACTGCTGTAGGTCTATTTTGAGTCCTGTTACTCAACACAGCTGATTAGCAAGTTTAATCCTGGGTAATTTCAAATATATTTAAAAAAACTGGATATCAAGTGCGCACTAAAGAAGAGGCCCAACAGAGGTTACCTGAACTGGCTTGAAGCAAGTCATGTCTCTAAAAGCATCGAGGGAGTGGTGGCATGCTGGATCAAAATGTTATGTTCTTAACAATAATACAGGTAGGTTAACATTCATATTGAGGCCTTATTACGTGAATATGTTCAAAGAAATACATCAATGGATGTGCAACAATTCAATTTCACTCAGAACAATTTCTTAAAGTGTAGTTTTTGTTATAAAATAAAATGTATTCAGATCAGAGAAACTTCTATCATATTTTTTAACAAAGACTTCAAATTTGGAAAATGAAGCTTATTAATTATACAACCAGGAATAGATTCTCAAGAGTGTGACGCAATGAAAGTAAATAGCTCTTGGTGGATCCCTCAGAAAATGACATTATAGGCTATCATGGATGGATCTTCTAAAAAGTGATGTAAAATGACCATATCACTCTAAAATATCTTCAAGGAAGGGACTAAAGTGTGGTCACTCAGTGTGAATCCCTAAGAAAGGGACATAAAAGAGTATATCACTCTGGGTGGATCTTCAAAAAAGGTGAAATAAAACACTATATCACTCTGGGGAGTATCTTTAAGAACATTAACAAAAGAGTATATCACACTGGAGCTGCTCTTCAAGAAAGTGTCATAAAACACTACAATGTATTACTTGGTGGATCTTTAATTATTGACAAAACTGACCTACATCATACAAAATCAGGAATCATGAAACAAACATGTTAAGAAGTGGGATTTAATATCCCTAAAGCAGGTACACCGTGACATAAAAAAAAGTGAAATAAGTTGATCTTTTAACCATAAATTGAGAAACCTGTATTATCACGCTTACATTTATATGTTTTATGCCACCTTTATCTTGCACTTAACCAGCCCCCTTTGGGAGAGCCTCTTGGTGGAATGCTGCCACATGACTACCAGAGAATGTTTCTGATTGGTTAAGGGCGCCCTCAATGGTGAGAGAGAGAGCAGGACACTTGCAGCCATCATTTGGCGTTCTGCTCAATTTGGTGTGAATTTACCATGATGCTGTCTCATTCTTTAACTAAGTGGCAATAAATCAGCACACATGGAAACAGACCTGGGGCAATCTATTCAAGCACACTTTAACCTAACAACATCTACTTGGCCAATATCTGATCAGACGGCAGTCTAGACGCTAATGTCTTTGGTAACGTCATATCGGTTTGCTCAACCTGCCATTGACATAATGCTTTTATACCAGTTGAGATACCAATGGATTGTTCTGCTTTGAGATACCAACTGATTGTTCTGCATGTTTATAAGGGACAGTCGGTGATTTCAATATGGTAATAGGGTCTGATATGTATAATGTGATGACTGTAAATTGGACAACGACCCGTGTTGTAAAAAGTTTGTGTTAGCCATCTAAATGTGAATATAATATTTGTATGTAAAGAAATTCTCTCAGATATCATTAACCAAATGATATTTCATTCAAAAATGTCTTCTAAAAACACAAATATTAGATGGAAAAATCTACAATTTGGTTGTGAAAACTTTGGTTCACCTGCACTAGGAATAAGTGCTATGACATTCATAATTTGCATTCTCTAAAAAGGGTTGCGATTGTCATAGTGCTAAGATCGTTTTGTACAAATGGGCCCCGTTCTGTCATTACCAAAAGTGGTAAGGCCATTGAAAGTAAAACAAACAAATGAAGACCTTCAGGGCAGTGGGATAGCCAAGTAGTTAAAGTGTCCACTCATTACATGGAGGGCCAAGGTTCGATTCCCTGCATGGGTAAAATGTGCTTTGCCAATTACTGTTGATCCTCACTATGATGTTCCTGGAATATTGCTAAGAGCAGCGTTCGAAATACCTGCCTGCCCGACCGCTCAGGACAGGATATTTTCAGCACGGACTGCCAGATTATCAAATTCACCTGCCCGACGGTTGGGTTAAAATTTGGACATGTATATGAAGATATTCATCATATTTCAGGATAATAAATCATTATTAATTCAAATAAATTTATTAAAATAAATGATGAATTCCAATTGGATGATAAACTCTGTTGCTTGTCAAACCTAAATTATTTGTGGGCAGATCGTTTTGGTCAGGGCTGGCAAGTTTTACATCCAACCAGCCCTGTGGTCTGGCTGAAATTTTGGGGAGTTTCATACCCTGCCAAGAGCAGCGTTAAAACTGCACAGTTACTCAAAATAAATCCTGCTTTGACTGAAAACTTAAAGAAGATTATTTATAAATTATCATGGGATTTTATGTTTTTTAGGGGGGGCATTACATGTTTTCAGACACGCGTTATAATGAGGTGGATTGCATTACATAAACCTAGCAAATATTCGAATGATGGCTTGTGTTTAAGATAAAGTCATCTTATATAAGTTACTGAGATCTTTTTACAATTGTTCACATGATTAGTGGGAAAACAAAGACTGTTCATGTGTCCGAAAACCCATAACACAAGGATAATCTCTCACGACTCATATAATTTATTCTAAAGGTCCTATGAGTGCTTCTAGCCTCACCTTTCACAGATTTATTAGGTGGTGGACCATCTCTAACCCATGGAGGATCTCCATGGCCTGAGAAGTCTCGAAGTTTGAGATAGCTGATGGAGAGCCGGATGATAGATGCCTTGTCCAACTGGCTTGTGATGGCTCCCGGCAGGGGAAGTAACTTGGCCAACTCATAGAACTCATAGTTTTCCTTCCCACGGCGGGACCGCGCTGCATCTCGTGATTTCTCCTTCCTCATCTCTAGGATACTGGAAACAATGACAATATTTTATGTACTATATCCTACATGTCATAACAACTACTGTTATATATTACATGTATATTGCAAGTAACGACATTGCTCTGTACACCAAAATTTGATCATGCATACAAGAAGCTGTGAATTTTTACTCGATAAAGAACAAGCGATGTCGAAAGTCTGTCTATGCTTAACCACTGTTGCTGACCAGGTACATTCAAAGGGAACTGAAAGCAACATACTGTGAAGAAATAATCATGATGATGACATACTGACTGACTGAGTTTGGTTTTACGCCGCTTTTAGCAATATTCTAGCAACATCACGGCGGGGACACCAGAAATGGGCTTCACACATTGTACCCATGTGGGGAATGATGACATAAGTTTGTAACTTGAGCAAGTATACATAAGCTATTAACTTCAATATGTATACATAATGTTGTAACTTAAACAAGTATACGTAACTTTGAACCTAAAACATCCATAAAGTAAACAAGTAGATGATGTTATAACAGATCAAGCACATAAAATCTGCCATGAAAAAGTGGAAGATTCTTTATTTTGACATGTTGAAATGCCCAGTAAACAGGCATAACATCAAACCCAGCGTTCAAATGTATGCTGTCATGTATGTTAAGTTTCTGTAGAGGTTAAACACATCCCCGTTATGTGTCAGTGTTTGTTGTATCGTCCTTTCACTTACTGTGTTTACCATCTACAACCTGCGTGATGATGAAAGAGAAGGAACTCCTCACACCAGGTGGTGTGGTGAGTTTGCAGTAGACCTGGCAAATGTGTGTCAAGGATGTCCCAGGTGAAAGATAAAAGCAACATTATCTCCTATGGCAGCACCCACTACATGTGACTTTATCAAGTCCGATGTCACATGAAAGACAGTGACAACTTTATTACAACCTCTGACACAAATGCCTTCAGCTAATTGGTGAAATGATCAGTGTACACAAGGTTATAGAGTTGAAACGACTTCTTTCAACGGGAACATGCTAAATCTGCTGGAATGAGTGAGTGAGTGAGTTCAGTTTTACGCCGCTTTTAACAATATTCCAGCTATATCATGGTGGGGGACACCAGAAATGGGCTTCACACATTGTACCCATGTGGGGAATCGAACCCGGGTCTTCGGCGTGATGAGCGAATGCTTTAACCACTAGGTTACCCCACCGCCCAAATCTGCTGGAACTTAGATTAACAGCTTTACTCTCTGAATTGTAACCTGTACATTTCTTTTACAAGTATGAACACTTTTTCATATTAGAAACCGTTCAAAATTTATGGCTAGGGGGTGATGATGATATTTATGGAAAAGCATCCCCAATTAATGTACAAAGTAAGTCCCCCCATGTCATGTACAAATATACAAATAAAATGATGACTCTCCATAGTACATGTGAACAAAATTCACGACCCCCTACCTCCCCAGAACAAAATAAGTGACCCCCCTTAAAGTCATCATCACCTCAACCAGCCATAACTTATGAACAGCCCCTTACTTCTTCATTAATGTTTGTATCTATGGAGATATTACACATGCTTTCATATATCTTTTTAGGGCAATATCTGCACACTGTTCCTAAACCCTGAGATGAGCAAAAGAAAAGACATGGCCCTACAAATTCACAAGCACAGTGGACTAAACATTAAAAAATTATCTATCGAAAAGATTCTTTAATTATTTTGGGAGAAACAAACAATTACAGGTTTGTCTGAAATGCAAAACAAAAGGCAGAATTTTCACTCTCTGGGAAGGAAAAGAACTATGAAGTATTTTCTCCATAAAACATAGTTTTAACACATTTCAGTCACACCAGGTGTGACGTAACTACAGATCTAAACCTTGAAAGTATTTAAAAAGAATAACTGCCAGGTGCCAGTCATGAAATTTTAAAAAACTTTCATTAATTTGTTACATAGAAGCTTCAGAGGTCAGAAAGTGCATTTTATGATAATTTGTTCTAGAGCGTTAGCCTAGTGGTTAGAGCGTTCGCTCATCACGCCATTAAGACTCAGGTTCAATTCCCTCCATGGATACAATGTGTGAAGCCCATTTCTGGTGTTCCCCACCGTGATATTAGTATTATTACTGTAATATTGCTAAAAGCAGCGTAAAACTAAACTCACTCACTCTGCTTAATAAATATTATTCACAGAAACATAGTACAACATTTTTGTAATCACATCATAAAAATTACATAAATACTCACAAATACCCTCCTGGAGATTTATTTCTTGTGATCTAATAGATTAAGTAAAACTAAACAAAAATAAAGCTGCAGATTGTCTTGCACAAAAGCAGTAGAAGACTGCATGCATCAGTGGATCAAGGACATCTGAGCACATGGCTAATGTTTCAGGTTGTTGGAAGTCAGTAGCCTTCATCGATATATATGTTGTAACTTATGTGACAGCTGCTAGAAGCTGTCAGAAGTAAATGGCTTATTGACCAGCACAGATACATAAAAATTTGGCAATTATAAGATTATCTTTACAAAATATAAGCAATTTTCATATTTCATTATCTGTTCTGTATACTTAGGATTTTCACCTACGTTTGTAATGTGAAATATAATAATATGCTAACTAATATCTGAGTGAGTTGACAATGTGAATACCAGTACACGAACATGTTGTTTATAACAACTCTTTGAAACAATGAAAAGTGAAACTGGAAAACCTGAAAACTATTTGAAACAATGAAAAGTGAAAACCTGACAACTATTTCGAAAAACTGGCAACTATTTGAAACAATGAAAAGTGAAACTCGAAAAACTGGCGACTGTTTAGCCAATGAAGTGAATGGTTAAAGGCAAAGGAAAACACTACCAAAACACTGCCTGAACATCCACATGCATTGCATGGGACTCAACCCAAACAGTACTGGAATTTGTACTTATTGAGAAAGTGTAATCCCAAATATAACATATGTTGCATTTGACCACTTTCTAAATGGCATTGTGTAATCATAGCTTTCGGCCATGGGAGCCGTGCCAATTTACACTTATCAGGGGGGTACACAAAGTCTGCAGTATAGACTACCAGTTGTCCGACTTCCATTTTTTTGTGGAAGTTGCGCTGGCTGAGCAGGTTAGGCGGCTGACTTTGTGTGCTGGTGATTTGGTGCCTGACTCTGAGGGCGTGGGTTTGAATCCAGATGGGGCTTAACCCAAAAAGTACTAGAATTTGTACCTTACTGAGAAAGTGTAAACCCAAATATAACATATGTTGCATTTGACCACTTTCTAAATGGCACTGTGTAATCACTGCATGACAAGTACTGTCAATGATGATATAACATGGCTGATTCTAGATGTAGTTTTTTTCCTTAAGCTTTTATGATCTGAAATCATCAAAACAAATGGGGTATAGCTGGATTCTAAAAATGAAAATCATTTATCAGAAAAATTCTTTTGATCATGGAAAATGCTATGTCACCTTTATTTCAAATCATTAAGAAAACCCATATAAACAATGATGAAAAAGGCATGTGTTTCAAAATATATCCATCAATCCAGTCAGTGTTAATGGAAATGCCATTGCAATTATTGAGCAATACCTTAGCATTGATTTAGTGTCAAACATCCATCAAATAAAGTTCATGACATAGGCATTGACCATAGGCCTTTCCCCACCCCTCCCCTCACCCCACACGCACACTCACAATCCATGGTGAACCGCTCAATACACCAATGCGAAAGGTGACTCGAGTTGTAAAAACTACATGTCTATTGACACTTACTCATAAACGCTAATTCTGTTCCCAGTGACGGAAACAGAAAATGTTGCTACTTCCTTGGAGTGAGGCCTTGCACATGCCTGTCTCAGCTGAGTGCACTGATACGAGAATAAGTGCGACATTGACACCACTAACTGCTTCCTCTCAGCCCACATCGTCACCAGTTTTACCTCTTCTGGTGTCCGCTGATGTTCACAACAACAAAAGACGACCTAAAGCTACAAAACCAGACATTTTTATTGAGCTATATCTTCTTTATTGAATGCTTGCACCAGTGGTTAGTTTCTTGCCGTAAGCAAGATTGTCGTAGCTCATTTGACGAATGATGAATTGCAACACCAATACTCTTGGCAATGAGTTATTGACAGGAGGGTGGGCACCTCCTCCAAAGCAATCAATTTACATTGAAAACAAATGCTGTTGAGCTTGAATTATGGAAAGAAGTAAACTTTTTGTAAAGAGCTAGCTTTTTTGCTTGTCAGGGTACACAAATATCTCTTTACGAAGGCTGTTGTTTGTGTTTCAAGTAATTCAATAATAAAGTTCTGATGATACCTGGTAGTTGTTTCACATCATCAATTCTCAACAAGATCAATGGTAGCATTTAAGGACACATGTTCATGGGAACTTCTTTAGCGTGTGAGTGTCAGTTCAATTCAAGCTGTCTTCACACCATGCTTGCACAAACAATTCTCTTTATTTTCAAACATTCTATTCATTTTTGTTTCAGCCAAATATCAGCCAAGAAAACATGATATAATTTTATTGTACATAAAATGAAAAGAACTTTTAATTTTTTTACCAAAATAATATTTAGTATTGCACCAAATATTTGGAGATATTTGAATTGCAATAAATGTTCGCAACTGTTTATCATTGTTTTTACCAAAACCATATTTAGTTTTTCAACATATATTTGGAGATCTAAAATTTGAATAAACATGAAGATTATCACTACTATATACTGACCATAAAACCAAATGGATACCTTTGGTTATGACTTCATGTAATCAAAGCTTGGATTTATCTGTGATGTAACAAGTTTTTGAAAAACATCTGCTGCAGACCAGTAAGTCTGTGATCGATGTCTACGATTATCTCTCATGTACCTTAATTCTGCCAAATCACAATTTCTCCTTAGACAAATGAATTAATTTTTGTAAAAATACCTAGGTAATAAGGGAATATAGTGCCCAGAAATCCATCTAGGCACAAAAAGACAAAATACAGTAATGTTGACTGATGTATGTCGATACT